AGGGAATTTCACCTAATATTTAAAAAATTCCAATTCTACAACTTTTTTTAGAAAAGATGGTAGCAGAAAATACTTCCCATCTCATTATATGAGACTAGCATTGCCTCGTTACAGAAACCAGACATAGATAAAACAAGAAGCGAAAACCACAGAATAACATGCCTCATGGCCACAGAAACAGAAGTCTATAACATAATTTTTAGTAAGTCAAATCCAATGGCCTATAAAAAGACAATACATCATTTTTATTAAAAACAAAAAACAAAAAAGGGGGAGTTTGGCTGCCTGTCACCACAAAAGCCTAACGTGTGAGGCAGGTGCTGATGCAAAAGGAAAAGTTTTACTCTGAATCTGTGCCATCTTGGAAATTAGGGGACTTCCTGTGTCAAATCTCATCTCCTCTGAAAAAACCCAGACAAAACCCAGCCATCATCAGCAAGACCACAACAAAAGGCAGTGTCCAGAGTTCCTGCTCCATTTTAAAGTACAGTCCTGGCCTGACTAGTGTAGCTCAGTCGACTGAGTGCCAGCCTGAGAATCAAAGTCACCAGTTTGATTCCCAGTCAGGGTACATGCCTGGGTTACAGACCAGGTCCCCAGTAGGGTGCACATGACAGGCAACCACACATTGATGTTTCTCTTCCTTTCTTTCTCCCTCCCTTCCCCTTTGTTTAAAAATAAGTAAATAAAATCTTAAAAGATAAAGTATAGTCCTTTGGAGCCCAAGGCAGCTGCTAAGCAGTCTCGCTATAGTTTGTCTTGTTCCTAGCTTCTGTCTGTCTTCAGACTCTGTCTTGGAAACTGGATGTGAAGCTGGAGTACCCATAGGCTGGAAAACCCGTGGGCATGCAGCTGCTGGGAGCTGGAGATCCTGTGCTCCCAGAAGGGAGAGTCCAGGGATATATCAACGAATGCTTCACTAGGATAACAAGAGAGAGACTCTACCCTGGAGGCCATAGCCTATGTGACTGCTAAGGTCATGTGTCCTATGGAGAGGACAGGCCAGTGCACTGATGCAGGTCCTGAGCAGTGAGAGACAAAAAAGAGAAAGAGTATTTATTTGTTCCTGTGAGGCTACATCCATTGTTTGGTTATGGGACATGCCAGGTACTTTCTCACAAAGAGCAATTAACTTTTTAAATCTTGTGCACTTTGGTGGGTCTACCTCCCAACCAAACCCTTCTTTCCCTAGGCTAAACTCACAGCCCACAGTTCTGATTTCTACAGTTCATATTCCTGCCTTCCCCATATCATCCCAATTTATTACTGGAAGGATGAGGGCAAGAGTTTTTACCTTTATCCAATTATCTTTCTAGCTTTCAGGTGTGCCCTGGCCCCATCCATTCATCTTTCCACCATCCCTGCAGTATGGGGAACTCCCTGACTACACCACAACCAATGTCCCAAGGCTGTCCAGCCTCCCTGTTCTTAGAGCTTCAAGCCTCATCGAAGTGGCTGTGGTGGCTAGGCCAACTTTAGGCAAACACCCTACTGAAGCCTGGCACAGTGACTGCTCCCACTGAGGGGAGGTAGTGCCCTGCTCCTCAGGGTGTCTGCCACCATGTATTCAGGCAGCTGACATGCCTTGATAAGCTGAGCCTCTGGGCTCCTCACCTCACCCATCAAGAGGTACTCCCTCCTCCATACACCTTGGCACAGTCTGCCAAGCAGTTGGCCACCTTGGCTTGCTTAGAAGGTGCAAATTGAGAGTAGTGGCTCTTCCACTGATAACTTCACAGCTAAGTAGGATTTATCTCAAGAATACAAATCTGATTTAATACTTAAAAGTAAAGATTATCCTGTGACAGACTTGAAAGGACAAAGCTGGCCTGTTTTGCTATCATGGCACCACTTGCCAAGCAGGCCTTGTTAAACATGAATGCCATTTTACTGCTCTGAACTTACATCTGCAAGACTGGAAAACTACTGGAAAAATAAGAACAGAATGTGACTAACTGCCCCCCACAGTTACAGGCAAAATATAACATTGTAGCAAACTTAGGCTTATGCAGAACCAACAAAAACCTTCTGTGTTGCAATGCCCCTAACATCCCAGCAGTGACACAGTAGCAATCCCCCAACCCTTTTATAATCCAATAAAAACTCAAAGCCACTACATTTTGCTGCTGGCATATCTCTCCACCCTTTAGCCCCTTTCCCCCTTTGGAGAGTGAATAAAACTGCTCTCTGCATTTTCCTCCCTTTGTGAATTCTTTCACAGTTTCTGTCAAAGGCCACCCTAGCAAGACTAATAAAGAAAATACAAATGATCATCTGAAGCATTTGAAAAAATTCAATATTCATTCATGGGTGAAACTCTCATCAGATTAGTAATATAAACATGTTTTCTCAACCTGATGAAAGGCATTTTTGAGAAAATTATAGCCAACATTATATTTAATAATTTCTTTGTAAAAAGCTGAACGTTTTTCCTTTAGATCAGAAATAAGAAAAAGATATCTGTTCTAACCTCTTTTATTAAACATTTATTAGAGGTTTATCAGTTCTATATAATAGAAAAATGAAATAAAATCCTATGTTGGGAAACAAGAATTAAATGTATTTTCATTGACAGATGGCATGGTTGCCTATTTAAAAATTCTAAGAAGCAACAAAAAATCCCTATTACAACTAGTACATGTGTCTAGCAATGTTGAAATATGCTCCCTCTATTTCCACTTTGGTGTGTGTTTTTATTATAAGTGGGTGCTATATTTTATCAAATGCTTTTTCCTCATCTATTTACATGGCTGTGTGATTTTGTATTTCATTTTCTTTCTTAATATGATATTACTTTTATTGATTTGAAAATATACTATCTTTGCATCCCTGGGATGAATTCCACTTGATCATGGTATATGATCTTTTTAATGTATTGCTGGATGTCGTTTGCCAATATTTTGTTGAGGATTTTGGCACCTATGTTCATCACTTATAATGGCCTGTAATTTTATTTCTTTCTTATGTCTTCACCTGGTTTTGTAATTGCTCTCATAGAATTTGAGAATGTTACTTCTGAACTTTTTTGGAAAAGTTTGAGAACTATAGGATATAGCTCTTCCCTAAAATATGGTAGAATTATCCTGTGAAGCTGCCCAGTGCAGGGCTCTAGTGTTCCAGGAGTTTTCTGACAACCTTTTCAATTTCACTAGTTATTGTCAGTTTGTTTAGGCTTTCTGTTTCTTCTTGATTCAGTCTTAGAAGATTATATGTTTCTAGAACTTTGTCAATTTGCCTTGGTTATCAAATTTCTTGGCATATATTTGTTTATAGTAATTTCTTACAATCCTTTGCATTTTTTGTGAAATTGGTTGTAATTTTTTCTCCTACATTTTTTATTTAATTTATGTGGGTCCTGTCTCACTTTTATTGATAGGTCTGGTTAAAGGCTTGTCAATTTTGTTTATATTTTGAAGAACCAGCTCCTGGATTTATTGATACTTTGATTTTTTTCTTTTAGTCTCTTTGTCATCTAAGTATGCTCTGCTTATGATTATATCTTTACTTCTCCTTGCTCTGGTTTTGTTGTTCTTTGTTCTTCTAGTTCTTTTAGATTTAGGGTCAGGTTGTTTCTTAAGATTTTTTCTATTTTTAAAAATATATATTATTTATTTATTTTTAGAAACAGGGGAAGGGAAAGACAGAGAGGAGAGAAACATCGGTATGTGGTTGCCTCTCAAGTGCCCCCTACTGGTGTCCTGGCTCACAATCCAGGTATGTGCACTGACTGGGAATCGAACCTGCAACCCCTTGGTTCATAGGCCAGCACTCAATCCACTGAGCCATACCAGCCAGGGCTTTCTAGGTTTTTTAGGTAAGCCTGTATTGCTATGAACTTCACTCTCAGGATTACATTCACCGTGTCTCATAGGTTTTGGGCTCTTGTGTGGTCATTTTCATAATCTTTTTAATTTCCTCCTTGATCACATTGTTAACTCATTCATTATTTAATAGCATGTTATTTATTCTCCATATATTTGAATATTTTTTAAAATTTTTCTTGTGGTTGATTTCTAGTTTCAAGCCATTGTAATTCAAGAAGATGCTTTATATGTTTTCAATTTTCTTGAGTTTTTCAAGTCTTGTTTTATGTCCTACCATGTGGTCTATCTATGAAAATGTTACATGTGCTTTTGAAAAGAATGTATATTTTGCTAATCAAGTCTATTTGATAATAGAATTGTTCAATGCCACAATATTATTGTTGAATCTTTGCTTGGAAAATCTATCCTTGTTGACAATAGGGTGTAAAATCCCCTACTGTGAGTATGTTGCTGTCTACATCTCTCTTGAAGTCCTTCAAGATTTTCCTTATATGTTTTGGTGCTCCTATGTTACATGCACATATGTTTACAAGGGTTATAACTTCTTGTTAGATTTTTCCTTAAGTATTAAGTATTTCCTTAAGTATTCTTTCCTTAAAAGAAATACATAGTGTATTTATTTTTTCTTTTTGTGGCCTTTTTTTTTTAATCCATTTTGTCTGATATAGGCATTTCTACTCCAGCTTTTTTTCCTGTTTGTTTTATTGGAATTTTTTTCAGCCCTTCACTTTCAACCTTTTGAAAGATCTTTTGTTCTAAGGTAGGTCTCTTATAGGCAGCATACATTCAGTCATGTTTTCTCATCCATTTATCTACTCCATGTCTCTTGATTGGAGCATTTAATCTATTTAAATTTAAGGTTTATTATTGATAGGTACTTATTCATTGACATTTTTTCCTTTATACATCTGTTCCCCTCTCTCTCTTGCTCTTTCACTCTATCTCTTTCTTCATCTTACTTTTTATTTAGTTTTAAAAAGGGAGTGAAGAAAGAGAAGAAGAGAAACATCAATATGTGGTTGCCTCTTATGCGCCCTCAACTGGGGACCTAGCCTGCAACCCAGGCATGTCCCCTGACTAAGAATTGAACTGGAGGCCCTTTGTTTTGCAGGCTGGTGCTCAATATACTGAGCCACATTAGCCAGGAAAGACAACTACTCTTGCAACACAAATTATTAGGGTAGAGTGCAAACATAGTCCCTCACTACCACAAATTATGCAGTCTAGTTTCCCATATTTGGGGAAATCGCAGGAGACCAAACACCTGGAGTGTAATAGGTGAGCCTCACCCTGGGAAAACAACTTTCATGATCATGGTATTTCCCCTTCCAGGTAAATATCTTTCTTCACCTTCTTAAAGCAGTCCTTTTATCATCTCTAAAAAATGCTGGCTTGGTGATGTATTTTTTTTTCACCTTTTATTTTTTGGTCTTGAGACTCCTTATTTTGCTTTCACTTAAATGAGAGCCTTGCTGGATAGAGTAATCTTGGTTTCAAGCTTTTTAAAAATTACTTGAAATATTTCTTGCCATTTCTTCCTGGCTTGTAGTACTTATGTTAAGCAATCAGCTGATAGCCTTATTGGACCTCCATTGTATGTTACTAGCTGCTTTTCCTTTGCTGCCTTTAAGAGTCTCTCTTTGTCCTTAAATTTTGCCATTTTAATTATCATGTGACTTTCAGTGGGCCTCTTTGGGTTCATCTTGATTGGCACCCTCTGTGCTTCCTGGATTTATGTGACTATTTCTCTCATGAAGTTATGGAAGCTTTCTGTCATTACTTTTTCAAATAGGTTTTCTATCTTTTGGTCCTCTTCTCCTTCTTGTATAAATTTGATATGGATATTATAATTTTTCATGTTGTCCTGCAGCTCCAATAAATCATCTTCATTCTTTTTCTCTTTTTGTGTTTGGTTTCTCTGTCTGAGAGTATTTTTCTACCTTGTCCAGCTTGCTGATTTAAACCTAAGATTCACTTAGCCTACTTTTAATTGCCTACTGTGTTCTTCATTTCAAGAATTTTGTACTCTTCATTTCCCCTGGAACTTATTCATAGTTTCTATGTTCTTTTTCATGCTGGCTTAGTTCACAGTAAGTTACATGTAGCTTTCCTGGAGTTCTCTGTAGTTTTCACAGAGCCTCTTGAGCATTCTTATAACCATTATTTTGAACTCCATGTCTGATACTTTGTTTGCCTCTGTTTCATTTAACACTCTTTTTTGTATTCCTTCTTTCCTTTTGATTGAAAAGGAAAAGGAATTTCGGTATTTCAGAAATTCCTTTCGGTATTTCCTTTGTGTTGTTTCTTTGTCCCCCTGTTTTCAGTGACTCTTCTTTTTTGTTACTGCATATTAGACTGCTCTGCTTTGACTCTTTATCTTCATGGGATGAGCTTTGGTGTTAGGAGAACTGTGGGATTCAGTGATGCCCCCTTTTTCTCCTGTTCTTGATGCTTTTGTGATGCCCTGTATGCCATTTGTGTGGGATCTCTGGTAATAACTAGGTTTTGGTTGTTGTTGTGTTATTCTTTGGTAGGTCCTTCCCTCAGGCTGACTAACTGAAAGTCACTCCACTCACCATGTCTTGTATCTTGCTGTACAGGCACCACTAGAATGAAACTAAACAGCCCAAGAAGCAAACCCACACCAGCAAAAATAACCCCCACCGACAATCACACTATCAACAGCAAATAAGCCAATATTAGTAAAGGTACAAAGATTCTAATACTATTGTAACAAGGGAAAAACAAGTATGAGATGACTAACTCATAGAAACATGATTTTGAGAGGGTAGAGAATGAAACAATAATAAAGGTGAGGAATAGACACCTGGTGATGAGATAAAGAAAGTAAAATTTACATCATAATCCAAGAAGGGAGGGAAGAAGCTGGGATGGAATAAGAGAAGTGAAGCATAGAGTGCTTAGTTTTAAACAGAAATTTTTAAAAATATATATAGTAAGACAAAATAGAAACCAAATTGTAGAAAAAGATCTACCACAACACTACCAACAACAAATGAGCAAAGATTAATACAGGTGGAATGGGAATACGAGGGAAAATAAAAGAAAAAAGCTTAAGAGTTGTATAGAGGAAAGAGAAGTGATTTTGAGAGGTAGAAAGAGAAGCAACAGTAAGAGTAAGTAGTGAAAACCAGGTTAAGACAGGGAAAAATTAAAATTTAAAACAATAAAAGAAAAGGCAGGAGTAAGGCAAGATGAAGTAGTAGAGGAGAATGGTAAAGTTTGAGTTTGAAATACCAAAATAGTGAGGATTTAGAAAAAAGTTGAAGAAATGCAACAACAGCTACCACCATACCCACACCAACAAGCACAAATTAATAAAGGTGGTGAGAGAATAAAGATATTTTTATAATGAGAAACACAATGTGAGATGACTGATGATAAGAAAAATGGTTTTGAGAGCCTAGAGGGGGTAGAAAGAGTAAGAGTGTGTCATGGAAACAAGTTGTAGCAAGATAGAAAATAAAATTTAAAACAAAAGTAAGAAAGGAGAAAGGAAAATGGAGTAAGAGAAGGGAGTAGCAAAACATGAGATTTGAAATAAACTATAATATAAAACCTAGTGACCTAATAGACACAAATATGAAGGACAAGAAATTAATGTTAAAGAAACAGTGCAGGAGAGAAAATAATGCAAATCATGAAGAAGACCACAGTGAAATTCATCTCAGTAGAATCTGATGTTTACAACTGTCTTCTCTTTCTGGATACTCCCCTGGTGATGTCAGGTGGTTTCCCATTCTGGCCCTAGGCAACCTTCTTGTGACTACTAGTAATCCATAGTCAGTGGCTATCTTCATCAAATGTTAATTTTGTCCATCTGTAATCAGCAGTCAGGTTTAAGTACCTCAGGGTGGGACAGAATAATTATTGTGAGCAAGTTTATTGCTTTTCCTCAGGCTGATGCCACTTGAAGGAAATTACTTTGCCTGAGCAAGATGACTTCTGCATTATGGGGAATGACTGACTCAACATAGATACAACATAGATATCTTGATGACCACTCCCTGAATTCTCTCTGCAAAGCCACCATCCCCTGACTCTCTTCAAGTATCTCTAGCCCATTCCACCCCGCTTTTGCTGGGACCCAGGGTAAATGGCTACAAATGACATTGTGTGCATTGAACCTTTAAGAGGCTATCTGTGTCTCCAGCTGTCTCTCCCTGGCAGACAGAAACCCTACTACTTTTCCCAGTTGGATGTTATCTGGGTTCCTTTCTGGCTCTGGTGCTGTAGGCTGGGGAGCCCAGCTTGGGGTTTATATCCCACACTTCTCAGTCCGAACCACCTGGCCAATGAAATTTCCCTGCAGCACTTCAGCTGCCACCTGTGGGAGTCCAGCCAGCTATTTTGCATCTCCTCTGCATTCTGTACCATCCACGTTCTGCTGAAGTACTTTCTTTTGTGTCTGTGTTTATAAGGTTTTTCTCCAGCTGTTATTTAGTTGGTTATTCCAGATGATTTCTCTACAGGTTAGTTGTAATTCCAGATTGGTCCTGAGAGGAGGTTAGTGTAGCTTCCACTTACTCCTTTACCATCTTGAATCCTCTATAATAATTATAATTATCAGATGTCAATTGTCTCCAACTATATTTATAGATTCAATAAAATTTCATTTAAATTCCAGCAGGCTTTTGTGTAGAAATTGTCAAGCTGATTCTAAAATTCATATGATATTTCAGAAGACCAAAAACATACTACTTTGGAAAAAGAACAAATTTAGAGAATGCATGCTAATTTATCTAATTGAACTGTGATGCATGAAACATCTTGGTTAAATCTCTAATTATTCCAGGTATAAGAAGACAGACTCAAAAGTGGTCATACTGTAAGCAAGAGGGGAAAAAATAACACCAATAAAAATATTTTCTTTTAGGACCATTTATTTCATATTCTTGAAAATGCAAACTAAACTATTTAAGATAAAGCAGATAATGGGCCAAGGAAGGGTAAAGAGAGGGATTGACTGATTATAAAGAGATTGGTTAAAATGTCTCTTTTCTTGATTGTGGAGATCTTCTCATGAGTTTAGGCAGACCTCACTTCACATGGTAAGGAGTTAAAGAAACATGCATCTCAGAACTGAGCCTTTGCACGCTATTGTTTAGTGGTAACTTGTATTACAGAAGTGTGCTAAGCAAAGGTTTTGTTAGAATGTGTACTACTTCCATTACACAATATTATGCAAAGAGAGGCTGCCTGAATATACATGTAAAAACATATCGTGTTGTACACATTATGTATGTACTACTTATTGTGATTTATAATTAAATAATTCTATCAACTAGATTTTTTGTGCATTTGTATTTTTTATAAATGAGATGAAAAATATCAAATTAGGTGCAACTTAAAAACAATTTAATTTTATTTCATATAAATTTATACCTGTTAATATTTAATTTCCTAAAAAATATCAGCTTCTTATATTTGCTAATCTCCACATATCATCAAACAATAATACAGATCAACAAAGAGAACAAAGAAAACCAGCCATAATCCTTGTCCAAAATGAGTCAGAAGGAACACTACAGTTCCAAATACTATGTGAATGAAGATAGAAACATCTCATTTCCTTCCACAGCCAGCTGCAGTGGCAATGTAGAAGCAGGGTTTGAAGGAGATTTCTCAGGAAGAGAAAAGCACTTCTCTGAAAGGGGAAACATTGCAAGTAGAGCTCAGGTTGATCATATCACTGGCTACAGGGAAATTGAGAAGGGGCACAGCTTTTGGGAGGAAAGATGTGATTTGGAACAAAAAGGCTTCCCTTGGACCCTTAGTGGTGAAGGGAAAGTTTGATGTAAGCAATAAAAATTAAGTTTCCTTTATAGACTACAGAATCAACTTTAAAAAAAGTCAACCCCTCACTTTACAAAATCAACTTTATAAAAAGTCAACCCCTCACTTTACAAAATCAACCCCCTCTATCAAAAAAGCACCAAAAAATTAAATAAGCTACATTCCAACAGAAGAAAAGATCCTTTAATTCATACATCTGCCAAACTCCTCACTTCGGCTTATGTTGAAACAGCCAAAATTATGCCAAAACTTTTCAACTTAATTACTTTTCTCTATTATTATTTTTTATATTCAATTTCACTGATTTCTGTTCTTATTTTTTTTATTTTTCCCTCTTGCTTGCTTGAAATTTTATTTCTTCTTTATTTACAAGTTTTCTAAGGGTAGACACTTAACAAACCCTTTTGAGCATTTTTTATTTCCTTTTATAAACATGCACTGCTACAATTTCCCTCTTGGCATTTCTTTCATTGTACTCGCAAATATCAATTTGTCTCATTTTCATTTTTTATAGTTGTCAGGA